GTCCCATCTCTCAGGGACTTCCTCCTTTTTAAGTACTTTTGATTTTATAGACAGTAATTTGAAGTGTGAACCTAATATTACTGGACAATCTCTTGAAGTTGTAGTACAGGTGTGTGTGGTTACTTGGGAGGGAAATGTTATCCTAACATTTGGAAGGTACCGGAGGAGAAAGCCCCTTCTGTGGATGAAGGTTTCTGTCCCACCTGGCCCCACAGCCATTCATTCAGTCCCTAAAAAAACGCAAAGAAGCTTATATTAATTATAAACTGTTTGGTCTATTGTTCAGGTTTATTACTAAATACCTCTTAAAACTTAAATTAACCCATAATTCTTATCTATGTTTAGCTATGTGGTTTGGTTACCTTTTCTCAGTAAGACATTCTCATTGCTTTCTCTGCTTCTGGATGGTGACTGCATCTCTGCCTTCCTTCTCAGAATTCTCCTAGTCTGGTTGTCCCACTTGCTATCTGTGTATAAACTGTATGGTGAGGGTGTACCTATGCGCAAATTCGGTGATTGTAAAAAATTTTACAAGGTCAGTTACTACAGTCAGTTTTAACCTCATCTGTCCCAGAATGGTTTCTCTGCTTTTGTCTCCCTTCCCATGTCTTAGACTATGTTTAGTGTTGGCAGAGACTTCTTGTGCCCCCAGGGTCCAACTACTCATGAAAGGAGCTACCTATATATCAGATAGTTGAAAATGCAAACACATGAACACAGTGTTGGTTGATGTGAGATTTCCCATTGTATGCTGTGAATATCTTATTACCATTGGTTAATAAAGAATCTACTTTGGGCTTTTGACAGGGCAGAACAGAGCTAGGAGGGAAATCTGAACGGAGATATATAGAGAGAGTAGGAAGAGTCAGAGAGATTCCATGTAGCTGCTGAAGAAGACAGATGCCAGAGAAACTTACTGGTAAACCACAAGCTTGATGGCAATACATAGATTAATAGAAATGGGTTATCCAAGATATAGGAGTGAGCTAGAAATATAAATGAGATAATTGGCCAAGCAGTGTTATAATTAATATAGTTTCTGTGTAATTATTTCAAGTCTGGGTGGCCGGGAAATGAATGAGCAATCTGTGACTACAAAATGGCACCCAACGTGGGGTAAAATACATCCACATAAAACCTAAGAAAACGTTAAAAAAATGTGCTTCTATACCCATGGGCGCCACGGGCATCTTCTTGGTAGCTGTGTTTGTTGTTTATTTGTTTGTTTTTATTTTTTCCTCATTTTTGTTTTTCAGATAGGCTGTTTTGCTGGCAGCAAGAAGAGACATGGCTCCTCTAAGAGAAGGCTTCTTGACTCAGTGATAGCAGGAAAAACTGCATGGCTCCTTTAAGAAGGCTTCCTGGTTTGAGGTACTTGCACAAACAGCTCAGGTTCTATCAGGTGGCTGAACACTTGAATGGGGCTTGTGTGCAGTGTGCTACAAGTTACTTGGTAGCAGCATGGGCCAACTGCTTCCCAGAGTTGAGGTAGTGGGGACAGCTCCCACCTGACAGTCCCAAAGCTGGAGGTAAAAGTACTTCTACCACATTGAAAGGCTGAGAGAGGTGGAGTCAGAATCCAGGGCCTCTGTGACCAAGCTGCTTACCATTTTTAATGGCGAATCAATCCCACACCAGTTATGTTTTAAAGGGGTATTTATTTTGGGGAGTAAACTTACATATATAAACCATCAGGAAAGAAGCCTAGTTGCTGGAACAGGGGCCAGAACCAAGCGCCGGAACCAAGAGGCCGAGCCGAGGCTTGCTACTCTTCTTTTAAAGAGAAATATACCACGCCCCAGTGGGCTGGTATTTCAGCGGCTATTGGCTGACCGAGCGGAAGGCGCTCTCGCAGCATTGTGGGCTTGTGCTTCAGCGACTATTGGCTGAAGCAGCGGAAGGTACTCCTGCAGCACCTCCCCCTTTTGTTTAAGTAAGAGAGTTCTAAGCCTACTATGAAATTATGTACAGTAAGTACAAACCTACAAAATTATATACAATAAGTACAAATATCCTATTCTAACTAGCTAAAGTCTTGTATAATAAATAACTTGGCCAAGTCATGAGAGGAAAGTAGCTACATTTATCTAGTCTTCAACTCCATAGAAGATCCGAGAAGGAAAATAATGTTACCTGAGTAATTAGGAAGTGTAATCAAAGAACTTCCAAAACATGCAACAAATCACAGAGACAACTGGCTACTTGGGCAATCACCAAAGACCTGTTTGCAGCATTGAAGCAACCAACTTTGACTAAGGCCTAGAATAACTGACAGATTATTTTTAACAGGCAAGAGATTTTTCAAAACCATCTTACCCTGTCTTGGCAAGATTTAACAGTTCTGTTTATCCATTTCTGGATTTAATCCATTTCCGGATTTTAACAGGCAAGAGATTTTTCAAAACTGTCTTACCCTGTCTTGGTAATATTTGACAGTTCTGCTTATCCATTTCCGGATACTGTGTATTTGTCAGTAGTTGAAGTATGGGCAGTTCCTTGCCTAGAGGCCAGTTTTGTCAAGAAGACAAGTTCCAAGTGGAGTGTCTTTGGTGCTCAACAATCTCTCGGGAATAGGTCGGTGTTGCTAGGAGTGATTGTGTCTCACTACACAGAACTCTAAGATTAAATTAAATGCCATTTTCTACAGCTCTTCAAAGAGGTTGTAGGCTATTTATATATAATCTCTATGTATCTAAAGAACCTGATTAGTCTAGCCATAAATATGACAGACATAGATGACTATTGATCTACAATTCTTAACATGTATCTAGCTTAAAGACTAAGAGAATAAACAACTGTGCAATAAATGAGGACAATGACCTCCAAATGTAAACAATAAATATCAATACATAAACAATATATGAGTATCTTAATCAGAGGCAGAAATGTACACTGCAATATGGTATACATATATCAATACAATATATATCAATACATAAAAAATGTTTTAAACAGGTAGAAGCATGCATACATACAATATTCAATATAATTTAACTTTGTATCCATATACAAAAATCTATGCCGATGTAATTATCTATAAACAATAACTCACAAATACCATTATTATCTATCCAATTTTCCCTCTTTTTTTTCAAAAAGATCCCTGAGCTTATAAAATTCCTTTCCCAACTTTCAACCGTATACTAATTATAATCAATCCCTAAATATTGTTCCTAAACCTGAGGACAAACTTTGCTGAGAGAGGGGACATCGTCCTCTAGAATTACTTCCAGCTGTCATGGGGGTGAGGTTCTTTCTGGAGGATCCTGTGAAAGTAAAATGATGGTTAAATTTCAAGATCAATGTCTTTTTAAAATTGCAAACAGTCTCTGAGTATTTTGTGGAGGTCTAGCCAGAATGCTGTACAAGACATGCATCATTTCAGCTAACCAAGTTGGAATCATCTGTGCAGCTGATACCCGAAACAGGACTTGTAGTAGCACTATCAGTATCATGACGTCATATCAATCGAGTGGAGTTGTTGTTATGGGGGTCCCATCTTCTTCCTGGAAACTTCAAATGTCAGTGCAGAAAAAACTCATTGCTCATTGTGGAAAACTTAAACATTAATTATATAGACATATACAAACATATATTCAATGAAAGGTATGATAGACATATTCAATGAAAAGTATAATAGATATGAAAAAAAGCAAAGATGTTTTCTCAACTCCTATTTCTTTCTGTCTCATATCATGGCTCTTGACATAAGACATAAGACAGAAACTCCAGAAACTCTGGGTTTTTCTCTTAACAACAGGCTTGGAATTAGAGAGGGACCAAGCTAAGAGTCCAACTCCAAAACCAGCTCTATAAATTCAGAAATATGATTTAGTTTATTCCAGAGCTTCATACTCACAGAACCTATTCCGTTTTCTTGATAATTCATATTGGGTAGTTGGACCAATCTGTCAGTATTTTTCCATCTGTCAGTATTCAAACATCCAGGGTTCCTTGAATTTTTCAAAGACAAATGTTTTCCTGTGGAGATAAGAACAGAACTTTGCCCCCATTCTATGTTTTTCTTACCACCTGTATGGCTATCATCATTGTAGATGCTGTCATTTCTCCTTTCCAAGAGGTTTCTTCTCTTCAAATCTAACCTTTATTAATTTTAATGGTATCCACAATTTTTCTTCTCCTGTGGAAACGAGAGCAAAACCACTTCCCCAACATAGCACATCTCCTGGCTTCCATTGAGAGGTCAGCACATCCTTGATATAAACTGGTTGATTTAGTTCCGCAGACTTTTCCATTATCCAATGTCTTTCTGCTGCTGTTGTTCCCTTCTCATTAGCATTAAGAAAATTCAAGGTTAATAAGGCATTATGTAATTTATTTCTGGGGGCATTTTCCACCCCTTTCTGTCTATTTAACATATCCTTTATAGTTCGATTTGATTTTTCTATGACTGCTTGACTTGTAGGATTGTATGGTATACCTGTAACATGCTTAATATTATAATAAGCAAAAACTGTTTCAGTTTCCTAAAGACATAAGCTGGACCATTATCTGTTTTAATTTGTGCAGGCATACCCATAATGGCCATAACTTCTAATAAATGTGTAATTACTGAGTCAGCTTTTTCTGAGCTTAATGCAGTTGCCCACTGAAAGCCTGAATAAGTGTCAATGGTGTGATATACATATTTTAATTTTCCAAATTCTGCAAAATGGAACACATCCATCTGCCAGATTTCATTCCTTTGAGTACCCTTCGGGTTAGTCCCTGCAGGTAGTGGTGTTTGGTTATATAAAGAGCAAGTAGGACATCTCTTTACAATCTCCTTAGCTTGTTGCCATGTAATGGAAAACTCTTTCTTTAAACCTTTGCTATTGACGTGATTTTTTTAATGAAATTCTGAGGCCTGCAACATGCTTCCAATCAATAATTGAACAATTTCTGCATTAACTTGTGCTAGAGGACCTGTCAGACCCATATGGAACCGGATGTGTGTTATGTATATCAGGCAAAGCCTATTCCTAATTATGTCTTGTACCTGGATAAACAATGAAGTCAACTCTGTATCATTTTGTATAAATTCAGCAGTTTCAATATGCAAGATAACTCTTTCTGCATCTTGTGAATCTGTAACAATATTAAGAGGTTTTTTAAAATCCCTTAGCACAATAAGAATGGCATATAATTCTGCCTTCTGGACAGAAGTATAAGGGCTTTGTTCCACCTTACTCAATTCATTTGATTTATAACCAGCCTTCCCTGATTTATTAGCATCAGTATAAAATGTACAGGCTCCAGTTATTGGAGCATCACGTACAATTCGAGGAAGAATCCAAGAAGTTCTCTTTATAAGGTTAAGTCTACCGCTTTTTGGATAGTTGCTATTAATTTCTCCCAAAAAATTAGCACAAACCCTTTTCCATGGCTCATTGTCTTCCCATAACTTTTTTATTTCACCAGTAGTAAAAGGCACTATAATTTCTGCTGAGTCTATACCTGCTAGTTGATGAAGTCTCAGTTTACCTTTTATAATTAATTCAGAGACCTTTTCTACATAAGTTTTCAATTTTTTACTTGGTTTGTGTGGTAAAAAGATCCATTCTAAAATAGTATCTTCCCTCTGCATTAAAATTCCCATAGGAGAAATTCTGGAAGGCAATATGACTAGAATGCAACTAAGATTTGGATCCACCCTATCTACATGCACCTCCTGTAATTTTTCCTCAACCATCGTCAGTTCCTTTTCTGCTTTAGCTGTTAATTCTCTGGGACTATTCAAATCTTTGTCACCATCTAAGGTTTTGTTTAAATGAATTATTAGATCAGGTGTTATCCCAACAGCTGGTTGTAGACTGGAAATGTCTCCTAACAATCTCTGAAAATCATTAAGAGTCCATAACCGGTCTCTCCTAATTTGTGCCTTTTGTGTCCTAATTTTCTGTAAACCTATTCTGTAACCTAGAATCTCCTCTTTGAATCTTTTCAGGAGCAATTTGTAATCCCCATTTAGGCAAAATTATCTTTACTTCCTCAAACATTCTTTCTAAAGTATCTATGTTTGAATCGGATAGCAAAATGTCATCCATGTAATGGTATATTTTAGATTTAGGGAAGTGCTTGTGTATTATTTCCAATGACTAACTTACAAAGTATTAACACAGGCTGGGGCTATTGAGCATTCCCTGTGGGAGGATAGTCCACTGGTATCTCCTAGTAGGCTGGGAGTTATTATAAGTAGGCACTGTGAAGGCAAATTGTTCTCTATCCTTTTCTTGTAATGGTATGGTAAAGAAGCAATCCTTCAAGTCAATAACTATAAGAGGCCATCCTTTGGGTAACAGAGAAGGCAGAGGAAGTCCAGACTGTAGAGGACCCATAGGTTGAATTACCTTGTTGACAGCCCTTAGATC